CTCTACCACTTGAGCCACAGTGCCACTTCCGGCTTTTTTTCTTATGTGGTGCTGAGGAATCGAACCCAGGGCCTTGAGCATGCAAGGCAAGTGCTCTACCACTGAGCCACCTTCCCAGCCCCACGAGATTTTTTTGTTTGTTTTTGTGGGTCCTGGGACTTGAACTCAGTGCCTGGGCGCTATCCCTGATCTCTTTTGCTCAAGGCTAGTGATCTACCACTTTGAGCCACAGCACCACTCATGGTTTTTTGGTAGTTAATTGGAGAAAAGGGTCTCACAGCCTTTCCTGCCTGGGCTAGCCTCAATTCTCAGATCTCAGCCTCCTGAGTAGCTAGTATTACAGTTGTAAGCCACCAACATTCGGCATGTTTTATTTTACATACATTTACAACAGTTTTAAATTTTAATACTCTAATGAATGAAAAATATATATCGCTGAATTATACACTTTAAACAGATGAATTATAAACTATGTGAATTATATCTCATGAAAGCTGTTTGGGAGCCAGGATATTATGGCTCACAACTGTAATTCTAGCCAAATAGGCTGAAAACCTGAAGCTCTCAGTTTGAAGTCAGCCCAAGTAGAAAAGTCTGTGAGACTCCATCTCCAATTAACCAGCAAAATGCTGGACTGGAGGCAGGTTCAAACAGTAGAGCTCTAGCCATGAATAAGAAAGCCCAGTGACAACCAAAGGCCCTGAGTTCAAGCCCCAATACTGGAAACAAAATTAAATAAAGCTGATAGCAGTGGGCTTGGGGGGAGGGAAAGAGGAAGAAAAATGAGGGAAGGGATAACAAGTTAGACAAGAAATGTACTCACTACCTTACTTATATAACTGTAACTCCTCTGTACATCACCTTGACAATAAAATTAAAATTAATAAAATAAAATTTTGGAGGGGGAACAAAAACTTGAGTTGGGCTTATAAAGTCCTGAAACAAAATAAAATGTAGCTGGGCACTAGTGGCTCACAACTGTGATCCTAGCTACTCAGGAGATTGAGATCTGAAGATTACAGTTCAAAACCAGCCCAAGCAGAAAAGTCCATTAGGCTATATAAGTGGAGCTGACTCAAGTAGTAAAGAGCTACTCTCGAGCAATAAAGCTCAGGGACAGTGCCCAGACCCTGTGTTCAAGCCCAGGACCAGCACCAATAATAAATAATGTCATTCTGAAAAACTGGACACCCAGGAAATCAGGATTAAAATCAGTTCCCCCGCCGGGCGCTGGTGGCTCACGCCTGTAATCCTAGCTACTCAGGAGGCTGAGATCTGAGGATTGCGGTTCAAAGCCAGCCCAGGCAGGAGAGACCGTGAGACTCCTATCTCCAATAAACCACCAGAAAAAACCGGAAGTGGCGCTGTGGCTCAAGTGGTAGAGCGCTAGCCTTGAGCTGAAGAGCTGAGGGACAGCACCCAGGCCCAGAGTTCAGGCCCCACAACTGGACCCCCCCCCCAAAAAAAAGGAAATGACTATTGCCAATGTTTAAAAAATAAAATTGGATAGGGCCTAGGTCTTGCCTGTAATCCTAGCTACTCAGGAGGCCGGGATCTAAGGATCATGGTTCAAAGACAGACTGGGCAGGAAAGTCTGTGAGTCTCTTATCTCCAATTAACTAGCAAAAGGCCAGAAATGGTACTATGGTAGAGAAGTAGGCTTGAGCACAAAAGCTCAGGGGACAGCACCCAGTCCCTGACTTTTAAGTCCCATGACTGGCATGGGGGTGGGGGGGGGAGACGAGCTGAATGTATGTTTCAAAGGTTTGAGAAGATAGGTTGACTAGAACAGACAGGTAGTTAGGGTAGAAAAATGTGAGATGAAGTTAGGAAAAATAGGGTGTAGGTTTACTGGATTCCATAAAAAATAAGAGAGCCATTTGCATGTATCATGAGGGCAGTGTCAAAGTTAAGTTCTTTTACTTAGGGCTTTACTGTAAACCTGGAACCTCATATTTAGTAATAATACCTTCTGAATATTTTCTTTTTTTTCTCTGAATATTTTCTAACAAGTGTTTTTTGTTTTTTTTTGAGTCTGGTCGTGGGGCCTGAACTCTGGGCCTGGGCGCTGTCCCTCAGCTCTTTAGCTCAAGGCTAGTGCTCTACCACATGAGCCACAGCGCCACTTCCAGCTTTTTTCTTTTTGCTTATGTGATGCTGAGGAATCGAACCCAGGGCCTCAGAGGCATGCAAGGCAAGCACTGCACCACTGAGCCATCTTCCCAGCCCCTCTAACAAGTGTTTTTGTTATTTGCTTTTGTGCCAAGTTTGAACTCAGGGCCTGGGCACTTGCCTTGAGCTTTTGAACACAAAGCTAGCACTCTTCCACTTGAGCTACAGCTCTACTTAACCGTTTTTTGGTGGGTTATTAGAGATAGAAGCCTCACGTGCTTTCCTGCTGGGGCTGGCTTTGAACCACAATTCTCAAGTCTCAGCCTCCTGCTTAGCTAGGATTACAGGCTTGATCCATTGGCAACCAGCTTAGTGTTTTGGGGGAAGGGTCCCCAATGAGAATGTTGCTCAGTAGCAAGTTCTTGCTTAATATGTGCAAGGTCCTGGGTTCCATACTCAGTACCACAAAAAAAAATTTTTGTGAGTTTTTTTTCTGATTTTTTGTTAGCATATGCTAATTGTACAAGGCAAGTTTCATTGTGACATTTGCATATATACGTGCAGTGTATCTCACCAACCTCATCCCCTCTTCAAACAATTTCAATAGGTTTCCTTATTATATTTTCTTTTTTCTTTTTTTTTGGTCCGGTCGTGGGGCCTGAACTCTGGGCCTGAGCGCTGTCCCTCAGCTCTTCAGCTCAAGGCCAGTGTACCACTTGAGCCACAGTGCCACTTCCGGCTTTTTTGTTTTTGCTTATGTGGTGCTGAGGAATCGAATTCAGGGCCTCATGCATGCAAGGCAAGGACTCTACCACTGAGTACCTTCCCAGCCCTCTATTTTCATATATGTGTATTAAAGTGCTTGACCATATTCAGTCTTTTTTACCCTATTCATCCTTCCCAACCTGCTGTCCAAGAAAGCCTGTTCTACTCTCCCGCCTGTCTCCTGTCACTGTTTTAGTGTATATCAATTGTACCGAAGGGTTTCCCCAGGGTATTTCACATTGTGCATATATTATAATCCGGATACCCCTCTATTGCTCTGTGTTTCTCTGTCTCATCACTATCCATTTATTGTAAGGAAACTCACTGAAAGGTCTTAAACAATGTGTTTTTAATATACATACCTAACTTGGAGCTAATGCTGTCCTCTTCTTTCCTCACTAGATTTTCTATTTTAGGAGGCTGAGGTAGATGTGAGACACACACATACACACACCACACACCACACACACATATTTCAGAAAACTAAGACCTTGCTTCTGAAATTCATGTGATCTTAGGAAGACATAAAGGTTCTAGTTTATACACAAACTTTGATAGAGGCAAGAGAAGTTATCAGATTTTTTTTTATTTCTACATATTAATCTTTTTTTGCCAGTCCTGGGGCTTGAATTCAGGGCACTGCCCCTGAGCATATTTTGCTCAAGGCTAGCACTCTACCACTTGAGTGACAATGCTACTTGCAGCTTTTTCTGTTTATGTGGAATACTGAGGAATCGAACCCAGGGCTTCATGCATGCTAGGCAAGCACTCTACCACTAAGCCACATTCCCAGCCCTACATATTAATCTTTTTTTTTCTTCTTTTTTGCTTATGTGGTACTGAGGAATCGAACCCAGGGCCTCAGGCATGCAAGGCAAGCAATCTACCACTGAGCCATATTCCCAGCCCTACATATTAATCTTAAACAAATGTTATCTTTGGAGTAACTGAGCCCACAGTCTTTCCAGGGCATTAGATAGATAGATAGAATCTTTAAGAAGCCCCACTTTTGTTTTGGGGGTGTGTGTCTGCACACAGGGGTTCTGGGGCTTGAACTCAAGAGCATAGGCTCTGTCCCTAAGCTGCTTTTGCTCAAAGTTAGGGTTCTACCACTTGAACCACAGCTTTACTTCCAGCTTTTTAGTTGTTAGTTGGAGAGAAGAGTTGCATGGAGTTTCCTGCCTAAGCTGGTTTTGAACCATGATCCTCAGATATCAGCCTCCTGAGTAGCTAGGATTATGGGCATGAGTCAACAGCACACAACTAGAGATTCAGAGTTTTTATTCAGTTCTGGTCATATAGGCACTCTATGCCTGCCATGAGCCAAATATCTAGACTGCAAGAAAGAAAGCAGGTATTCAGCATAAACCATATTGTTCATACAGTTTAAACACAGCTACTCTTACTAGTTTGCAGAATGGTAGGAACCCTCCAAGAACTCAAGTTCCAAGATAGCAGCCATTTAGCCAACTATGAAAGCAAAGTTTTTTGTGAATAGGGGGTGAAACGGTGATTGAGTGCTTGCTTAACATGCCCAAGGCCCTGGGTGTGATACCCAGTGAGTCTTCCATGAGCTCCCACTTAATGCACTCACCACCTTCAATGTTCGCACATGTGCATGAGCGCGCACGTGCACACACGGCAGCACCACCTTGGCCAGGATACCAGCTGGTCTGCTTATCCTGAAGGCCTAGCACAACGGGGACTGTTGCTTCTGCTCCAGTCCCTGTAACTACTTCTGTCCACAAGGCTGTGTTGAACTTCTAGGGACTACCTTGGAGCCCTCACAGCTGATGTTGGTCATTCTCTCTTGCTGCTCACTCGTAGGCCATCAGTAGCTCTCTAGAAACAGTTTGTTCTGCTCTGAGTATAGCTGCCTTGGTTTATTGCTCTTTTGTTGTCTTGATTCTTTAATTTCCTTATTTAGGCTTAAAAATAGACACTCCTTGAGGATGATAACTGTGCCTTGAGGATGATAACTGTGAGTTCAGTAAACTGTATTTTGGCAGTCACTAAAATTTGAGAATAGAGATTATTATGCTAAATTCCAGTTTTTATAATCTTTAAAACAGTTGTTCAAAGGCATTGCCATTCAACAAAGCAGTTTATGAATACAATGCATCTTGTCCAATGTCATTCTTTTCATCATTCTCTCATAAAATAGCAGTTTTTATTTTATTCTTCACCAGTCCTGGGGCCTGGGCACCGTCACAGAGATTCATAGGCTCAAGGCCAGCGCACTACCACTTGAACCACATGTCTGCTTTCGGCTTTTTCTGATTAGTTTATCAAAGGCAAGAGTATGACAAACTTTCCTGCCCTGGCTGGCTTTAAACCATCAAAGGCAAGAGTATGACACTTTCCTGCCCTGGCTGGCTTTAAACCGCAATCCTCAGATCTCAGCCTCTGGAATAACCAGAGTTACAGACATGAGTCACTAGTGCCTGGTAACTGGGAATGTGGCTTAGTGGTAGAGTGCTTGCCTAGCATATGTGAAGCCCTGGGTTTGATTCCTCAATTCATAAACAGAAAAAACTGGAAGTAGCACTGTGGGTCAGCACCCAGGCCCAGAGTTCAGGCCCCATGACTGACAATATATTTGGAAAAGAATTAGCCAGGCACCAGTGGCTCACACCTGTAATCCTAGCTACTCAGGAGCCTGAGATCTGAGGCTTGTGGTTCAAGGCCAACCCAGGCAGGAAACTCCATGAGACTCTTTATTTCCAGTTAACCACCAAAAAACCAGAAATGGTGCTGTGGCTCAAAGTGGTACAGTGCTAGCCTTGAGCAAAAGAGCTCAGGGTCAGCACCAAGGCCCCGATTTCAAGCCATACAACTGACCAAAAAAAAAAAAAAAGGATAAATTATCTCTGTACTGAATATGTACAGACTTTTTTTCCTCTTCCTTATCCCTAAATAATATAACTACAGTTTATGTAGCATTTACATCTTATTAAGTATTATAGATGGAGATATTTAATATAGGAGGTTGTAAGTTCTACACAAATACTATGTTGTTTTATATAAAGGACTTGAATGTTCACAGATTTTGGAATCTGAGTATGTTCTGAGATAGATTTCCCACAGATGCTGATGGAAAACTCTCACAAACATTGTACTTGAATGAAACATCCACTGTTTTTATCCACTGCAGATTATCTGTTTAACTTTGCAAGTGCTGCTACAAAGAAGATAACTGAATCAGTTGCTGAAACAGCACAGACAATAAAGAAATCTGTAGAAGAAGGAAAAATAGATGGCATCATTGATAAGGTACATTTAAACATCTTTTGGAAGTAGAAATTTATAAAATTTATTAGCAGTTAATTTCATCCCTTCTGAACTTTTTTTAATCCAAGTAAGATACCATGTTATTGTGATAATATTTAATTATTGAGATTCTTTTTCTTTCTCATTGTATAAAAGTACTTTTGTATAAATAACTTTGATTTTAACACAGCAGGCTGTGTCAAGAAGATCAGTAGTTAGAGGCCAACCTGAGCTACTTGGGGAGACCTTGCTTGAAAAAAGGGAGGAAGACGGACGCTGGTGGCTCAGGCCTGTAATCCTAGCTACTCAGGAGGCTGAGATCTGAGGATCACGGTTCAAAGCCAGCCTGGGCAGGAAAGTCCATGAGACTCTTATCTCCAATAAACCACTAGAAAACCTTAAATGGCGCTGTGGCTCAAGCAGTAGAATGCTCGCCTAGAGCTGAAGAGCTGAGGGATAGTGCCCAAGCGCAGAGTTCAAGCCCCACAACCGACCAAAAAAAAAAAAAAAAGAGGAGCTAGGGACCTGGCTCAAGTGGTAGAATGCCTGCCTAGCAAGGACAAAACCTGGAGTTTAAAACCCTGTACTAACAAAAAAATAAAATAAAAACTTTGTTTATACCTTAATATAGTTTACTGCTCGATTATAACAAAACTTTAATATAGTTTAAATTTCTTTTTTTCTGGTCAGTCATGGGGCTTGACCTCGGGGCCTGGGCACTGTCCCTCTCTGAGCTCTTTTACTCAAAGCTAGTGCTCTACCACTTCAGGCCACAGCACCACTTCAGGTTTTCTGTGGTTAACTGGTGATAAGAGTCTCACAGACTTTGCTGCCCGGGCTGGCTTTGACCCACCATCCTCAGATCTCAGCCTTCTGAGTAGCTAGGATTACAGGCGTCAGCCACTAGTACCTGGCCAAGTTTAATTTTAAATTTAACTATTTCAAGATATATATGTATGCCTTTGTATGATTGTGTGTGTGTGTGTGTATGTATATGTGTGTTGGGGGCGGGGGGGGTGGTCCTAGAGCTTGAACTCAGAGCCTAGGCACTGTCCCTGAGCTTTTATTTGCTCAAGGCTAGCACTATACCACTTGAACTACAGCTCCACTTCCAGATTTTTGGTGGTTAATTGGAGACAAAATTCTCATGGACTTCCCTGCTTTGATTGGCTTTGAACCTCAATCCTCAGACTTCAGCCTCCTGAGTAGCTAGGATCACAGGCATGAGCCACTGGCACCTGGTCTTTGTATGATTTACAAACAATTGCTCATCAGGATCAACTGTTAAACTCCAAAGGGTGACTTTGTTTTTTGTTTTTCCTAGTGCTAAAATTTCAGGCTTAGGGGATTTCACTTATTGTTAGTCTTTTTTTTTTGGTCAGTCATGGGGTTTGAACTCCAGGACTGGGTGCTGTCCCTGATCTCTTCAGCTCAAAGTGAGCGCTCTACCACTTGAGCCACAGTGCCGCTTCCGGTTTTCTGGGGTTAATTGGAGATGAGTCTCACAGACTTTCCTGCCCTGGCTGGCTTTGAACCGCAATCCTCAGATCTCAGCCTCCTGAGTAGCTAGGATTACAGGCGTGAGCCACTGCTACCCTGGCTATTAGTAATTCTTTTTTTGGGGGGGGTCCAATCATGGGGCCTGAATTCTGGGCCTGGGCGCTGTCCCTCAGCTCTTCTGCTCAAGGCTAGTGCTCTACCACTTGAGCCACAGCGCCACTTCCGGCTTTTTTCTTTTTGCTTATGTGGTGCTGAGGAATCGAACCCAAGGCCTCATGCATGCAAGGCAAGCACTCTACCACTGAGCCACCTTCCCAGCCCTAGTAATTCTTTTTTTAAAAATATTTTTTATTATAAAGATACTGTACAGGGGTTACAGTTACATGAGTAAGGTAATGAGTACATTTCCTATCGAGCATTATTACCCCCTCCTTTGTTTTTCCCCTACCATCCTTCCCTCCCCAACTCCTCCCTCCCTTCTCAAGTTGTAAAGTTCAAATTCAAAGTGGTCATCAGTTAAGCCTTAGATATCGTTATTTAGATATTTTTGCTATGTGTACTCTTTACTAGAATGAAAACCACTCTGCCCTTTTTTCAACAGACAATTATAGGAGATTTTCAGAAGGAACAAAAAAAGTTTGTTGAGGAACAACATACAAAGAAGTCTGGTATGGTATACATTTGCCTTACTTAACTTGCTGTGTGTGCATTCGTGTGTGTGTGTGTGTGTGTGTGTGTGTGTGTGTGTGTGCATGTGTGCATGTATATATGTCTGTGAGGGGGATATGTATTTTATTGTGCTAAGTACTTAACTAAAGGTCTTGCTGATGCTAGGAAAACATTACTACTGACCTACAACCCCAGCTCTTCCACCTACCTGCCACTAGATTTGATTAAGCACCTAGTATGTGCTAGAACCATACTAAGGCTCTGAAAATACAAAAATGTGTATAAGGCTGAGTTACAGACCCTATGCTTAGCTTGTACAGGATCCTAGATTTGATCCCAACACCAAAAAAAAGTGTGCATTAACCAGCCATCCTTCTGACAGCAGAAGGACTAGTGATGAGAAGACTCACCCATAAACCTTTAGGTTTAAAGAAAGGGATTAAGTTATTCCCAGGGCTGGGATAGTGGGTGAGAATAGTCCCTCTAGGGAGTTGGCTCTCAGGAAGAGCATTTTAATTACATTTTGACACATCCACATATTCACACACAAACAAAACTTACACAAGCCAGGTAAGTCATTTTAAATACTCCAGTAGTGGGGCTGGGAAGGTGGCTCAGTGGTAGAGTGCTTACCTTGCATGCATGGGGCCCTGGGTTCGATTCCTCAGCACCACATAAACAGAAAAGGCCAGAAGTTGTGCTGTGGCTCATGAGGTAGAGCACTAACCTGATCTGAAGAGCTGAGGGACAGTGCCCAGGCCCAGAGTTCAGGCCCCACGACCAACTAAAAAATAAGAAAATAGTGCTGGGAAGTTGGCTCAGAGGTAGAGCGCTTGCCTTGCATGCCTGAGGCCCTGGGTTCGATTCCTCAGCACTACATAAGCAAAAAGAAAAAAGCCGGAAGTGGCGCTGTGGCTCAAGTGGTAGAGCTCTAGCCTTGAGCTGAAGAGCTGAGGGACAGAGCCCAGGCCCAGAGTTCAGGCCCCATGACCAGACCCCCCCCCAAAAAATACTCTAGTAGCCACACAAATGAAGTAAAAATAGAAAGAGCTGTAGTTAATTTGAATAATCTTATTTAACTCAATCTCAAAATTGGAATTCACGTAATAGTGTGTGTGTGTGCGCGCGCGCGTGTGCGTGGGAGCGTGCCAGTGTTGGGGCACTCTCCCTGAGCTTTTGTATTCAAGGCTGGCACTCTGCCACTTGAGCCACAGCTCTACTTCTGGCTTTTATGGTAGTTAATTGGAGATAAGAGTCTCACAGATTTTCCTGCCTGGGCTAAGTTTCAACCTTGATCCTTAGATCTCAGCCTCCTGGGTAGCTAGGATTATAGGCATGAGCCACTAACACCTGGTCCATTTCACTTCTGAAAGCCTTTTTCTCACTCATAATCATTCACCTTGTACTGTTGGGTTTTTTTGTTTGGTTTTTTTTTTTTTTGCAATCTTGGGGCTTGAACTCAGGGCCTGGGCACTGTCCTCTCAAGGCTAGCACTTGCCACTTGAGCCACAGCATCACTTCCAGGTTTTTCTGTGTATGTGGCACTGAAGAATCCAACCCAGGGCTTCATGCATTCTAGGCAAGCACTCTACCACTAAGCCACATTCCCAGCATTGCTATTGTTTTCAAGAGGAGGTCTTACTATGTAGTCAAGACTACCAAATGTCCTTTATGACACAATGTCTTCCACAATCCAATTAAGGATAATTCACTATGTAGTGGAGGCTCCCAAATGTCCTTTATAACATTTCTAGTCCCTGCTTGCCACAATTCAATTAAGGATAAGATAATTCAGCTCTTTTCCATATGTCTTACCCTCATTTAATCTCTTAACTGTCCAATAACATTTCTTTGTCTTTTATAACATTAAAAGTTTTGGAGAGGGGCTGGGAAGGTGGCTCAGTGGTAGAGCGCCTGCTTTCCATGCATGAGGCCCTGGGTTCAATTCCTCAGCACCCCATAAGCAAAAAAGAAAAAAGCCGGAAGTGGCGCTGTGGCTCAAGTGGTAGAGTGCTAGACTTGAGCTGAAGAGCTGAGGGATAGTGCCCAGGCCCAGAGTTCAGGCCCCACGACCAGACCCAAAAAAAAAAAAAGTTTTGGAAAATACTGTTCCCTTTTTTATTTATTTTTATTTTTTGTCGGTCGTGGGGCTTGAACTCTGGGCCTGAGCACTGTCCCTTAGCTCTTCAGCTCAAGGCTGGTGCTCTACCACTTGAGCTACAGTGCCACTTCCGATTTTTTCTGGTGGTTAATTGGAGATAAGAGTCTCACAGACTTTCCTACCTGGGCTGGCTTTGAACTACTATCCTCACACCTCAGCTTCCTTTGTAGCTAGGATTAGAGGTGTGAGCCACCAGCACCCAGCTCTGATGGTTATTTTAATACTCTGATTACAGTGTTGTCAGATTTCTTTATAGTGTCATTCAAATAGAGTTTGTTTTTATTTGTTTGGAGGACACAGTTTTAGGGGTTTAAACTCAGACTCATAATTGGTAGGGATTCTACCACTTAGCAATACATCCAGCCCTTCTTTGTACTGGTTGTTTTTGAGATAGGGCCTCACTTCCTGTCTGTACAAATGCTTAGACCATGATCCTCCTATTTTAGACCTCCCATCATAGCTGGGATGACAAATATACACCACTACATATATATACCTAGGCTGACTTCAAACTTGGATCCTCCAAATCTCAGCTAGGAATACAGGAGTAAGTAACTAGTGCTCAGTTTAAGTAAAATTATTTTGACTAAATGCAAACATACATAAAACTCATAAATTAAGTAAAGATATTACAATAACTTAATATTTGAACCTTACTGGTAAATGGCTGTTTTAAATAGTCAAATAGATACTTTCTCATTCTTTAAAATCATAGATTATAATATAGCCATTGTAACCTATTTTTTTTCACCTTCTGTACAGAAGCAGCTGTGCCCCCATGGGTTGACACTAATGATGAAGAAACAATTCAACAACAAATCTTAGCATTATCTGCTGTAAGTATCTTATGATATATATAATATATATATATATAGAACAGACTTTCTTCCTGTCATGATACATCTGTCAGTATGACTTTATCTTTAGCAGAATTTTTTTTTCTTTTTTCTTCTTCTTTTTTTTTTTTTTTTGCTAGTCCTGGGGCTTGAACTCAGGCCCTGGACACTGTCTCTGAGCTTCTTTTGCTCAAGGCTAGAGCTCTACCACTTGAGCCACAGTGCCACTTCCAGTTTTTTCTGTTTATATGGTACTGAGGAATCAAACCCAGGGCTCGTGCATGCTAGGCAAGCACTCTACCACTAAGATGCCCTTTTTTTTACATGAGGCATTACCTGCCTCATGCAGTTTTTTTTTTTTTTTGTCGGTCGTGGGTCTTGAACTCTGGGCCTGGGCGCTGTCCCTCAGCTCTTCAGCTTAAGGCGAGCGCTCTACCACTTGAGCTACAGCGCCACTTCCGGTTTTCTGGTGGTTTATTGGAGATAGGAGTCTCACGGTCTCTCCTGCCCTGGCTGGCTTTGAACCACAATCCTCAGATCTCAGCCTCCTGAGTAGCTAGGATTACAGGCGTGAGCCACCAGCGCCCGGCTGCAGTTTTTTTTTAATTGTGAGTCCTGGGGCTTGAACTGAGGGCCTGGGCACTGTTTCTGAACTTTTACTGAAGGCTAGCACTCTACCACTTGAGTCACAGTTCCACTTCTGGCTCTTTCTGTGTATGTGGTACTGAGGAATTGAACCCAGGGCTTCATGCATGATAGGCAAGCACTCCACCACTAAGTCACATTCCCAGGCCCCCCTCCCTTTATTTTTGTCAGTCATAGGGCTTGAACTCTGGGCCTGGGCGCTGTCCCTCAGCTCTTCAGCTCAAGGGTAGCGCTCTATCACTTGAGCCACAGTGTCACTTCAGATTTTCTGAGTGGTTTGTTGAACCACAATCCTTAGATCTCAGCCTCCTGAGTAGCTAGGATTACAGGTGTGAACCACAGGCACCTGGGTTTTTGTTTTGTTTTGTTTTGTTTTTTGCTGGTCCTGGGGCTTGAACTCAGAGCCTAAGTACTGTCCCTGAGCTGCTTTTGCTCAAAGCTAGCATTCTACCACTTGAGCCACAGTGCCACTTCTGGCTTTTTTTCTCTTTATGTAGTACTAAGGAATCAAACCTAGGGCTTCATGCGTGCTAGGCAAGCACTCTACCACTAAGCCACATTCCCAGGTCCCCAGTCCTTTTGTTTTTCTTCAGTACAATTTTTATTTTCTTTTTTTTTGGGGGGGGGTCAGTCATGGGGTTCGAACTCTGGGCTTGGGCACTGTCCCTCAGCTCTTCAGCTCAAGGCTAGTGCTCTACCACTTGAGCCACAATGCCACTTCTAGCTTTTTCTACTTATGTGGTGCAGGGGAATCGAACCCAGGGCCTCATGCATGCAAGGTAAGCACCCTGCCACTGAGCCACCTTCCCAGCCCAATTTTTATTTTCAATACCAATTCTGAGGCTTGAACTCAGGACTTGAGCCCTGTTCCTGAGCTTTTTTGCTCAAAGCTAGCGTTCTACCACTTGAGCCATAACTCTCCTTCCAGCTTTTTTGTGGTTAATTGGAGATGAATGTCTCATAGACTTTCCTGCCTGGCCTGGATTTGAACTGCAATCCTCAGATCTCAGCCTCCTAAGTAGCTAGCTAGGATTATAGACATGAACTACTAGCACCCAGCCAGTTTTAATTTTCTTGAAACAGACAGAGCCTCCTACCTCCATCTCCAGAGTGCCAGGATTACAGATGTGCACCAGCACACCTGGCAATAATGTTTGTTTGTTTTGTTTTGTGTTAGTTATGGAGCTTGAACGCCAGGCCTGGGTGCTGTCCCTCAGCTCTTCAGCTCAAAACGAACACTCTACCACTTGAGCAACAGCTCCACTTCTGGTTTTCTGCTGGTTTACTGGAGATGAAAGTCTCACCGACTTTTCTGCTCAGGCTGGCTTTGAACTGCAATCCTCAGATCTCAGCCTCCTGAGTAGCTGGGATTATAGGCATGAGCCACTGGCTTCTGGCCTGATAATAATGTTTTGAGATACATTACCATAGGAAGTTCTTTAGGCAGCATTCTAGTTTCTGTGAAGGAAATGATTGTATTCTCTATTTTCTCTTTACCTATATGTACTTGTTGAAAATTGATAGGACAATATTCTGCATGCTGGCCTGCAAAACTTTACCTGAAGACTTTGGAGGAAATGCAGCCAGACCAGCTAGCAATTGTTTGGTATCTGACAGTTTGCAAAAGCACTTTCCCACACACTACTCTATTGAACCTCACAGCACTTCTGTATAATAAGTCAGGCTTTTATCACCCTGAGACAAGTGAGAAGATTGAACAGAAATGCGGGTGATACCTTCATTTCCTCTCTGTATTCTCTACTTAGCTGGCAATGATCAGAGAGTAAAGGCCAGGCTGATATTTTCACCCTAAGCAGCTAGCTCATTGCAAGGCACACACCACCCCTGCCTCCACTGTTTTTTCTTTGTTTTTCTTTTATTAACATACATTAGCAACTACACAAGAGGAGATTTTAAGCCAGGTGCTCATGGATCGTGCCTATAATTCTAGATACTCAGGAGGCTGTGATCTGAGTGAGGATCAAGCTTTAAAGCCAGTCTAGGCAGGAAAGTCTACAAGACAATTACCACCAATTAAGCACCAGAATATCTGGGAGTGGAGCTGAGGCTCAAGTGGTAAAGCACTAGGCTTGAGCAAAAAGAGCTCAGGCCCTGAGTTAAAGCCCCAGGACCGGCACAAAAATAAAAGGAAATTTCATTGTGATACCTATTTAAATGACTATTAAAATGGGCCCAGTTAAATAAGTTATGGTAAAGTACAGCTAATTTGATGTAAACATTGAAACCAAAAAGTTTTTCATGACCTTGAGTGAAAAAGAAAATCAATCATGGTATATGGAATACTTTCCTTTTTTTTATTTTTTATTTTATTTTTTGGGTCCGGTCATGGGGCCTGAACTCTGGGCCTGGGCACTGTCCCTCAGCTCTTCAGCTCAAGGCTAGCACTTGCCACTTGAGCCACAGCATCACTTCCAGGTTTTTCTGTGTATGTGGCACTGAAGAATCCAACCCAGGGCTTCATGCATTCTAGGCAAGCACTCTACCACTAAGCCACATTCCCAGCATTGCTATTGTTTTCAAGAGGAGGTCTTACTATGTAGTCAAGACTACCAAATGTCCTTTATGACACAATGTCTTCCACAATCCAATTAAGGATAATTCACTATGTAGTGGAGGCTCCCAAATGTCCTTTATAACATTTCTAGTCCCTGCTTGCCACAATTCAATTAAGGATAAGATAATTCAGCTCTTTTCCATATGTCTTACCCTCATTTAATCTCTTAACTGTCCAATAACATTTCTTTGTCTTTTATAACATTAAAAGTTTTGGAGAGGGGCTGGGAAGGTGGCTCAGTGGTAGAGCGCCTGCTTTCCATGCATGAGGCCCTGGGTTCAATTCCTCAGCACCCCATAAGCAAAAAAGAAAAAAGCCGGAAGTGGCGCTGTGGCTCAAGTGGTAGAGTGCTAGACTTGAGCTGAAGAGCTGAGGGATAGTGCCCAGGCCCAGAGTTCAGGCCCCACGACCAGACCCAAAAAAAAAAAAAGTTTTGGAAAATACTGTTCCCTTTTTTATTTATTTTTATTT